TTCCTAGGCATGAATTACTATCTGTATGCTTAAGACATACATATACATACATACATGGGTGTCTATACACATACAAAACCCCAGGTTCTCCATGAGCTTTACCACCTACATCTCAAATTCAAAATTTCCAAAACTTCTGTTTTGGAATGTTCCATATTTTTCCTCTAATTCATCTTCTTCTAAACTTGTTTAATATTTCCAGTTTATCCTGTATTTAGCTTGTTTGCACAGAGGTATTTGCATGCTGTCTACCCCATTAGACTGTGATGTGCATTAGCGAAGGGATTGTCTTTTTTACTTTCTTTGTATCCCTAGTGCTTACTACAGTGTTTGGCACGTAATAGGTATTTAATAAATGTTTATTGACAGTTTCAAAGGCACCACTATTCTTTTAGTCTTTCAATCAGATGACAAATCTTGCCATCTCTACTTCCACAATATCTCCCACAACTGACCTCTCCTCTCTTAACTCCCACAGCTTACCATTTTAGTTCAGGACATCATCACCTCTTGTCTAGACTATTGCAATGGCTACCTAATTGGTTTCTCTGACTAATGCCTCTCTCCACTACAGATTCTTCTCTACATGGTTGCTCAAATGATTTTCTTAAGCACCAATTTGATCATGTCAATCATATACTTAGTAAACTCCAGTGGCTCCCTACTGCCACTAGCACAAAATATAAACTTCTGTTTAGCTTTCAAAGTCATTCATGACCTGGCCTTTGTCTTTCTTTCTATCTTCATTATATATTACTCTCCTTCCCCCACTTTGGGACATGAACAAACTGGCCTTCTCCCTGTTCCTCATATACCAGGCTTCATCTCTCAACTAGGTGCTTTTGCAATGGCCATACTTATTCCTGGAATTCACTGTCTCCTCCCCTCCACCTCAGAACCCCTCTCTTTCTTAATGATGAAGCTCAAGTACCACAATTTTTTTCTTTTCTTTTAGAAAACTGTATCTTTTTTTGTTACTCTGTACTTGACAAAAATTATCAAACATGAGCATTTCCATATACAATGAAGACAAAAATAGGATTGTAGAAGAAACCACAAATCTTTATTGCTTGCATTTTATTCTTAATAATATAATTAATTCAACGTGTTACTTTATTAATTTCAAAGATGTTCTACGTGTCTATGTCTCCTTTGAGCCTCTTTGTTTCCTTCTGTGTATTTTTAAATGATAGGATGAACCTCTTTTTTCTTTTCATTTTTTGTATACCTTTTGTTATTGTCTCTCTTTCCTTTTCAATTCCTGAGCCACCTAAATTTTTTAATCCTCTCTTGTAACAAACAAGCATAGTGCAGAAAAGAAAAAGCCACATATATTGATCATATCTAAAAATGCATATCCAAATGTGTCCCTTTAATCTCCCACCTCTTTGTCAGATCAAGTACAACCTTCTTCATGAAGCCTTTCCTGATTCCCCCCGACTCCTAGTGTCCTTGCCCCTTAACTACCTCGTATTTATTATCCATATACTGATATATGCACCTGAGAGAATGTAAGCTTCTTGAGAGTACAATTTTTTTCATTCTTTGTGTTTTTATTCCTAGTGCCTAGCATAGGGCCTGGAACCTGACTGGTGCTTAATAAATGATTGTTAACATTGGTTGATAGATAGATTCTAAATGTATTTTAATGAAAGAAAGTATCAAAAGAGTGAAAAAAAAAGTCATGGATGTTAATACCACACAAAAAAATGTTAACAGAGGTTCATTAATCACTACTAAATGATATGTCTATTTTTCTCACCTCCACAAAATCTTTATGAGAATTATTTTCATATATATAAAGAGTATTCTTATTGAAAGCATAAGAGAACAAGAAGGCATTTACAAACATAATCATAGAAGCTTTACAGTCACACAATTGAGTGCAGAGGATGCAAGGTTCCATTGTATTTATTGTTTGTTGACCATAAAAAGCATTTGATTCTGTAGAGCAAAATGTAACCTTAAAGGCTCTTCTCCAACAAGGTGCCTCCCATGCAGATGTTAACATTATACAATATTCCTTGATAAGAATCATAGCATAAAAACCTTTGTTCAATACTCTTATTAGTAATATCAAATGAGACATCAGGCAGAAAGACTGATGATTATCAGAGGTTATCCGCCACTGCCATCAAGAATGTCCAATGCAGAGACCAAAAAGAAGAGGGATTCCCAAGAGATGTTGAGTTCCTGCTGATCATCTTGTTAGCAGATGCCATTGTGTTGATTGCATTAAGCCCTGGAACATTATAAACCCTCCTAAATGAGATTTACAACCAAAGATTTCAACCTAATCCACACAGGAAAAAACAAATGGATGCTTATTGTTTAGATTATGATGTTCACTGATCTGGTCCATAAGTATATATAACTTGGACAGATGTTACAGAAGAATAGTTTTCGGGAACCATAGTTAAAGAGAAAGTGAGGGTAGATTGTTTTGCATTTAGGAAATTGTGCCATGATAGCAAGCTTTTCCCTGAAACAAAGGCCCACCTCAACACTACTATGTTTATATTTATGCTATATGACTACATATCATCATATAATCTTTGAAGATTATCAGCCAACTAAAGGGCAAGGGAGAGATATTATGTAGTGTGTGTAAAAGATTATTAAATCTTATAATATGAGGTAAAGTTTAGAAACTTTGATCTAGAAGCCTGCACAAGCGCTGTCTTTAAAAGCTAGCTATAGGACTGCTACTGTTTTGTAAGTCAATTTCCTGGCCCTTGTGGTTGTAATAAAAATCTTCTAGGAAACATCAAATGGTAAAGTCCCAGGTAGAGATGTAGAGATTGGGAAGAAATCAACAGAAAAATTTTCCTGGTGCCCTTGACCTTAATAATGTAAGGCTAAGGTCATTCATGGGTAAGAAAGAATGAGAAACATAGTAAATAGTAATATTAAAAACAAGTTTTTTCCTCATAAATATTCATAATTTAATAACAATAGATATAGGCTAGGTATGAATAATTGGTATGTATAATTGGTACAATGGTATTAGCGCCAAATTGATATCAGCAACCACACAAAGTTTTGGAACCTAACCTAACCACTGACCAAGATAGTGAAAAATCAAAATGTCACATTAGGAGTATGGTCTTTTCCTATCAATTTTTGTGGAACACGTGACAAATCATTTTTGCCTTCTCTGAGCTTCTACTGTAAAAGATAGGGGAATAATAAATTAGAAAATTCCAGAATATTGGGAGATTATTCATATATTTCAGAATAAAAAGTACATTGAATTTCTTAGGGATAGGATATGAAGCTTTCAATAGAACACTTTTAAATATTTTATACACAAGCAAATATTATAGAGGGTCTTCCCCTCTAGTTGGTACCTGGTCCCCCTCCCACCCTACTTTTAGTCATGGACCCTGGGTGAAGGAAGGCAGCTCTCCCATTCTAGGACCCTCAACACTTCTAAGGCTATTTTAAAAGTAAATAGTGCCACTAAGAATCATAAAAATCATCTTTGTCCCAAAGCTGTTAATACATCATTTTTGCAATACAATAAATTCTTTTACAAGTAATAATCATTTCTAGACATATGTTGTGACACTTAAAAACAGAAATGAAAAATAAATATTAGATAATTTCTGGAAGAATGTGCTTAAATATGTTATTCAAAGATACTAGTCCTGCTGTATATTGTTGAATTGCTTATTTTCATTCCAGTCAGGATTTCATCAGACACCATGCTATTAATCCATCTTCTCTAGTTTTCCTTATGCAAAATTTGATCTGCCTCTCCCCTGTATATTTTCAGATTGCTTCAGAAGGCCCTTTTACCAAGGACTGGACTGGGCATGTGTGAGATCCACAGCTCTGTGCTGTATATGCATTTGCGACTATGCAAACACTAGATTTCGGACCAATATAATGGAGAAGAGGATATTGGGCTTGTTCTCCCCACCCCCACCCCTCCCAAGCATTGTGTGCAAGAACTCTCAGAACTGGGTGTCATAAATCCCTGGAGAACGACTCAAGAGTATGTTTTCCCTGCAACATCCCTGGTGCCTACAGCTTGAAGCAATCTGATACCAACCGTAATGGCCACAGGGCCAATCTGTACAACCCAGATGTAGTCATCTGAGAGTCTGCCAAAGGCCTCTTTGCCCAGCAAATCATGATTGGTTTACTCTTCCGGAATCCCCATGGTCAAACACTTCTGTCTTAGAACCCTGTGGAAAGTGGACTCCTAATGGGCAGCAACAGAGGAGGAAAAGGGTAGCAGTAAGATGATCCATCTGCTCCCTCCTCCCTGCTGTCTGCTGCAAACACCTGAGAAGGACCAGCCTCTTCTGAATAACGGTATGATTGCTCAGAAATACCTATTTAGCTAATGCACACGTTTAAAAAAAAAAAATCTAAATGAGGCTGACTTGCAGTGCGTGTTTGTGGAAGATACAAGCTCTGGACCCTAGTACCACACCCAATTTTTCCAGCAAATAGCTTAATTTAGGAAAAGAAGTGGCAATGGGTGGGGAACCTCTTTCTCTGTCTCTCCTCCTTCCTCTAGGGTAAATCATCTTTCATTTTGGAAAATAGAGTAAAGAAGAGAGGAAATTTGTCATATTGAGGATGACCAGCTGTGTCCCTGTTACTGACACTTCGGCTAATCCCCGTTCCTCTCCAGCCCAGAATGGCATCGATTTGCCACACAAATCACAGGCATCTGATGCTGCTGCATCTGAGAAGAAAGTTGACTCAGTACAGGGCTTCAGGTTTATTACCGTCTCCTGAGGGTACTAAGTGCCCTTCTATGTCCTTATTCTCACATGCTCCAATATCTCCCTTACTCCTCTCAGCTTCCTCAAACAATCCATACTTAGGCTTTTTTCAATAAAATCTAACAACGCAACTCAATCAGGTTATTTTATTAATCTGGGGGGAGGGGCAATGAGGGAGGATTGGAAAGGAAATGATTTCAGGAAAATACGCATTATTTAGCATATCAGCATAGAAGAAAAAAAATGCTAGATTCTTACCTGCCCCCTGGGCGTCCTTTCTGCAGCACAGCTGGGATTGGAGTCCACAGGTTTTTCACTTCCGCCAAAAACCCCTAGAAGAGAGCATCCTCCACACCAAACCTCACCCCAGTCCCTCCCTCTGTGCGATCGCCTTTGGGCGATCCTTCCTTAGCTACTTGACTGCATAAACCCGACCTTTCTGAGCAGTTATTGGGGACCGCAGGGCGAGCAGGGCGGTGGCCAGGGAGAAGCCGCTCCCTCTGATTGGACGTGGAAGATATCACTCGAATCCCTGACTGGGGTTTATATGGGCGGAGAAGTGGGGAAAATGCCCACGAGTCTGCAGTCCCCTCTCCGAAATCCATTCCTGCTGCCACTGGCGCTTCTGAATCCATGAATCCTAGAAGGGAAAGGAAATCTGCCGTGAAGGCTTATTATCTGAATCCCCAGGTAGGAGGGAGGGGCTAGTCAGAACCACCATCTTCAATTTCCTCTGCAGAGAACATCTGAGCTATATGATTTCACTCACACACACACACACACACACACACACACACACACGGGGAATTTCAGCAGTACAGTATAAACTCAGTTTAAAGAACAAAATACTGAACACCTAACTGAAAATATTTTTAAACTGTACCTGACATTTTTTTCTGTTGCGAATTTTTATTTTGGTTTAAGTATCATAATAACTGGAAATCAACATATGAAGAAAAAGTGAACTTCTTTAGCCTATGCTGAAGAAATCTTTGAAAATGAATTATACTGGGGCAGCTAGGTGGCACAGTGGATAGAGCACCAGCTCTGGAGTCAGACACTTGACATGTCCTCTCTAGCTGTGTGACCCTGGGCCAGTCACTTAGCCCCAAGAAAACGAATTATACTAAATCAGTGATTTCCAATTTTTTTTATTCTGCTCCCACCAGTAAAGATTGAGAATGTATGTATATATAAATACACACATGTGTATATGATGGAGTCATGGGACCTGAACCCCTAAAAGGAAAAGACCATGTCTTTGGTATATAAATTGTATCCACATACTAATTATTATGCACTATTGAAAGTTATGTTGACTCAGCGATTGTTGCTAGCCATACTTGTCAATCAGTATTGGGGGAGGCTCTGCTGGGGAAGGCAACGCAGAGCTTGCACCTTTTTGCATTATTGGCTATTTGTCATCTACCCCTGCTTGTGAGGTTTGTACATACTGTATATACAATTTTACAAATTTTATATATACACATATGTCAATGTACGTAACATATGTATGTATATGTGTGTATAATATGCAGCTAGGGGCAGCTAGGTGGTACAGTGAATGGAGTCCTGGGCCTGGAGTCAGGAAGACTTAAGTTCCAATCCCACCTAAAATGCTTACTAACTGTGTGACCCTGGGCAAGTCACTTAACCCTGCTTGCCTCAGTTTCCTCATCTGCAAAATGAGCTGGAGAAGGAAATGACAAACCTCTCCAATATCTTTGCCAAGAAAGCTCCAAATGGAACCATGAAGAGTTGTACACAACTGAAACAATTAAAACAAACACAATATTTGTATGTGCATACATGTGCATATGTATGAATATGTATATTTTCATTAAAGAGAAGTTTGGAGAAGCACAAACCGGCAACCTTGTGGAAGATCAATTTGTAAAACTGCAGGGGAAATGTTTTATAATTTTCTATGTACTTTGCCCTCTATTTTACCAAAGTTGCTCTCACCTTCATTATGAGAGAAATTAATATTCAAATTCCAATTAATTGGAATACTACGAAAAGTCAATATTGGTAAAAATTGAAAAATACAACTCTCTTGACTTATGTATTACAAATTTTTAACTCTCTCTAGATTCTTTTCAGAGGATTCTTTTCAGTGAAGAGTAAGTAAACAGAAAAAAGAAGAGAGCAAGTATGATTAAATTTGGAAAACTGCCTTGATTTCATCTTTGTAGATAACATAACAGACCTTGATTGTAAATTGAGTAATCCAGGGTTTTTGCAAGCTGCTTACTAAGGTTGAGAGGTCTCAAAACCACACTCCTGTGCTTCAATAAGAGTATAAGCCACTGGAGGCCACCTAAAAGTTTTTATAATTACTAGGAACATCTTAATAGCTTTTTTTAAAGGGATTTGTCCCAAAAACTTCTTTATATATTGGTACTCTGAATAGGCAGTCTAGGTTTCTAACCAAATTTGGGGAAATTGACTTGAGGTGCTTTAATCTCCTAAAATAACACCTAAATTGCAAATAATCGAGCAACAGGATTTAATTGTTGTGGGTAAATTAGTAAATCTTTTTTTTTAAATCACCTAAGTTGAAATTAGCTATACAGCTTGAAAAAGTAAAGTTTTAGTTAAGTCACTGAGTTTGTTGAACAACAATACCTGCTAGAGGCAGCTAGGTGGCACAGTGGATAGAGCACTGACCCTGGCATCCAGAGGACCTGAGTTCAAATCTGGTCTTCCACACTTGACACTTACTAGTTGTGTGACCCTGGGCAAGTCACTCATTGCCTGGCCAAAAAAGAAAAAAACAAACAACAATAATATGTGCTAAAATTATAAAGGAAATGTTCATTGGAATATGGGATATGGTTGAAAGGTAGAATTTGAGCAAAGGCAAGTTGCGTAGTATGAACAAAGAGTTTTAGAGATTTGGAAAGAAAAAAATACAAAAGGTGTGGTTTTCAAGACCATTTAAGGGATGTGTGTGTGTGTGTGTGTACATACACATACATACAAAGTCTGTGCAATTGGAATACATATCACATCCTTTGGTTACAATTGGAACAAAGTGTCACTTAAGTAAATTCATTTGTGACCTGTCTACAAAGAGTGCTGTTACCTGTGTGCTTCTGTTTAGGATTAGATCTTTAGAATCTCATCTTTCTAAGCAGCTGAAGTAAATAACTAGAGTAAATAATGAAGTAAATAGCTAGAGTGAAATTTTTTTTTGAGAAAATAACAAGATCCTTTGATTATATATGTCAAATATAAGTGTTTTTAATGAGACACAAAGGCTTTGAGCATGTTCTAATAACAAATTCTCAGAATTGGGTTCAAAATTTTATATATGTAATTGTATTTATCACGCAGGGGTGAGGAACCTGTGACCTTGAAGCCACATGTAGCCCCTCTAGGTCCTCAAGGGTGGCCCTTTGAGTGAATCCAAACTTCACAGAACAAATATCCTTAATAAAAGGATTTGTTCTGTGAAGTTTGGATTCAGTCACAGGACCACCCTTGAGGACCTAGAGGGCCCCCATGTGGTCCCAAGACTGCAGGTTCCCTGCCTCTGCAACACAATTCAGGCAATCTAAGAGGGCTAGTTGTTATTTGAATTTCTTAAATATATCAACATAACAATTCCCTGGCTTAAGTTTCATGCCTTTCTATGACTTGAATCTGAGGTGAAAAATGAAATAGATGAATACCAGAAGTTAAATGATGGTGGAGTCAATGATCATTTTAAAAGATACTTTTAGCTTTAGCTTATATAACTACATTGGCAAATATCAAATTTATAACCAAAAAGGCTCATTCTACAAGTTAAATGTTCGTAATTCTTTTATATTCTCCCTTCAACCTGTTGTCAGTGTCTAAATCAAGTATCTGATTTAGATACGGATAGGAGCAGAAAGGAGTATGGAAAAGTGTAGATTCTCTGGTCTAGGGGTTCCTAATTTGAAGTTCTTATTAGAGCTATAAGGTTTGAGCTAACTCTCATCACATGATCTTATTGGCAAAGCAAAATTAAAGTGACTGAAATACCACCCCACACTTACAGATCGGATAATATGACAGAAAAGGAAAATGACAAATGTTGGAGAGGACATGAGAAAATTGAGACACTAATATACTAATAATGAAGTTATATACTGATTCTATAGAGCAATTTGGAACTATACTCAAAGGGCCATAAAACCATGCATACCTTTTGACCCAGCAATACCACTACTAGGTCTGTATCCCAAAGAGATAAAAAACAAAAACAACACAATTCTGAAAGACTTAAGATGAAAAATGCTATCCATCTCCAGAAAAAGAATTGATGTAGTATGAATGCAGATCAAAGAATACTTTTTCTTTGAAACTCAAAAAATTTTAAATGAATGCTAAGAGAAGATTCTGAGAGTTTTGCAGAATAGTTATGAAAACTTTCTACTCTCCAGATATCCTCCACAAAAAAAGCACTTCACCTCAGAGTGAATGTAGATCAGTAGAAATAAACAGGAGTCAGGGTAAAGGAGATGTCCTCCTAAGATAACATGAGAAGACGCCAGGAAAGACTCAACCACTAAGGATAGAGGTTTGGCCTGAGTGAAGTTCAAACACCTACAGGTCTACTCCTTGGAATCAACAAACAACAAGCCCTTGGGGCAGTTGAGTTGGGAGGCAGTGTCAACCTCAGGAACACTCAGGGACAGTGTGGAAGTATGACTTCTAAGTAGAAGATTGAAGGACCTTCCACTGTCAAGGCATGCCAAGCCACAACTATACTGACCTGACACAGTCCTGGGCTGTGTCTGTGGGGGAAAAGAAACTAATATATCCTTGGTGAATGTGGTAGCAGAGAGACAGGGACCCTTTTGGCTGTGGGCACACACACACACACACACACACACACACACACACACACACATTCCTTCAGTGGTCTTGAAAACCACACCTTTCTTATTTCTCTCTTTCCAAATCTCTAAAACTCTTTACTCATACTACACAACTTGCCTTTGTTTGCTCAAATCCTACTTTTCAACCATTTACCAGACTATATCCATTCCAATGAATATTTCCTTTATAATTTTAGCATGTATTGTTGTTCAGTGAACCCAATGACTTACTCCTGGTTTCATTTCCAGGGCAGAGAGGACAACTATAATTTGCAGCTACTGGACAGACCACAGGGAGCAAGGGCATTTGTGGGACAATGTTGCTGGAGGCCCTAGCTGTGGCTTAGGGGTAGAGAGGAATGCCCAAGGCTGGGCCCCAGAACACACCTCAGAAAACTACAGTAAGAAGGGCCTGAGGCTTTGGGCATCATTCCCCACATCTTGTGACTAGAACTTGATTATAATAATAACCTGCTAAAATGAAATAAAACCAAATAAAAATAAAAATGAGTAAGCAAAGGAGAAAG